CTCCACCTGTGCTCTTCTGAACACGGATGCTCTGAGACGTGGCCTTTGAAATTGTCTCAGGCATTTCTTCAGGTTGAAAAGCCCATCCGTGAACTGCTATTGGTAAAGCCTCTGGGCCCCTCCAAGGTTATATGCTCCAGTTTTCATTGGAAAACTGAAAAACAGGTTGGACACGGTCTCTAGTCTGTGATTTTAGGGCGCTGCAGACCAAGGATCTGCATAGCACAGCCCTCAGGCAGATCCGGCCCCCTGCCTGCTTTTGTAAATAAAGTTTTATTGGCACACACCCGTGCCCATTTGTGTGCGTGCTGGGTACGGCTGCCCTCACACACTGAGTCGTTCTGACAGAGGCAGTGAGGACTCTAAAGCCTGAACTGTCTACCATCTGTTCCTTTACAGAAAAAGTTTGCTGACCTGTGGTGTAGACCGCGTGTCTCCCTTCCATTTTGATTTCTTGTAGCTGCTCCCTGGGACTTCTCCACACTGGTGTTGCCTTGTCGACAGTGACTCCTCACAGGTCCAAACAGTCTGCTCTCCCCAGGAACCTTAAAAGGACGGGTGCAGAGTTAGCAGGTGTTAACAGAGGAATGCACTTAATCGGAAAGGGGATTGTTACCACTCACCCCTCCCAGCCCATGGGACGCTGCACCTGGGCACAAGGGAGCCATGGCTGCAGGCTCCCAGGAGCGCCAGGGCCCCCCACGGTCATGGCAATGCTGCCCCCAGGAAGCACCTCAATCCTCATCCTCTTCAGCCCACCACCCGGAGCCCTCGCTTGCCCTAGGCTCCCGCCCTCACTGACGTGTCCTTTGCTTCCCTGCCTCTGAATCTCATCTTTTCTTCCTTTGTTCCCCTGTCTCCCCTTGAGTCCTTCTAGACTACATTGCACTTCCACAGCTGCAGATGAGAACGCCTGGTGGGAAGACCGCAGCATCATAGGTGGTGCTGTAACCCTCAGGGCCGTAAGAGATGGGCACTGCGTTTTCCTCACCCCCTCTTCTGCATTCTCCACCAGGTTTCCCCTTCTGGTTTCAGCAGTCCAGGCGTATTCAAACAGGAGTGCTTGAATTTTTATCACCTTCCGTGGCCACGGGGGCTGTTCCTGCCTCTGCTTTTCCCCCTCCGTCTTGGTTTGGGCCCAAGCATCCTCTTTCTCCTTTGCTTTGGATTCTCTCTTCCCCTTGGGCATTCTCCTGTAGATGATGCATTTGTGCGCTGACCATTAACAACCCTGTGTGCGGCACTCTACCACATCCTACAGTGACAAGTAAGTCCCATGGCCCATCCACAGAAATCTCTCTGAACAGAACCACCCAAGTGATTACCCATCACCATGAGCACAATGTCCTTTGAAATAGGAAGCGTGCGTATTTTCCGCAGGTCAAGGACAGACGGTGGGTCTTCTCCATGACATCGGCCAGGCTTAGCCCATCATGAGCGCTCCAGACCTGACTAGTTCATTGAGCGCCTTCGTCTTCCTTGAATTGTGTTTTTTCTTTGAAGAGACCCAGTATGCGGAAGCCACCCTCTCAGAGTCTTTTCCTCTCTCCAGCTTTTCCCAGCACAGACCTTTAAAATTTCCCCTGTTTATGAGACAGACAGAACTGTGATTGATTCCCCCTATTCTTCTCCAGTTTATTGCTGGTCCACAGACGTGAGAGATGAGTCAGATTTCCGCTGGGCCGAGTCAGTGTCCATCTGAGCATCTCCCTCTTCTCTCCGCTTCCCGGTAAGTCAGAGTATTTCAGGCTGAGCTTTGTTTTTGAGAATGACTTGGCTTCCCTTGCTCAGGTGCGAGAGGGGCCTGGAGCACGCCATCCCCCACTATGTCACCACGTACCTGCCGCTGCTGCTCGTCCTCGTGGCCAACCCCATCCTGTTCCGGAAGACAGTGACTGCAGGTAAATGACAGGCCAGCCCCATCCTGTTCCAGGAGACAGTGACGGCAGGGCAATAACGGGAAAAGCCCTCGGGTCGCGATGCCACGGGAAAGGCCCCAGCCCTTGGGCTCAGACAGTTATCTGAGACCCTTGACCTCATTCGTCATCCTCCAGAGACATCCGCAGAGTACAGCTGGGGCAAGTGAGTAGGTTCAGTAAGTGAAAGCGAGCAACGCTACTGAGTCGTGGGCGGTACAGATGCTTTGTCAGCGTCTGATAGTGCGAAGCCAGGACCACTGTACTTTCCAGTTCCGTCTGGGCTCATCCTGGCTGTGCCCGTGGCCTGCCTGGAGGCCCCAGAGGTGCCTTGGGAAACTGCAGAGGTGAGGGGAGCAGGAGAAGAAAGGGCAGCCCAGGGGGAGGTCTGGCCGTGGGCCGAGGTGTCGTGGGAGCCTGGTTTCTCCCGTGACGTGTGGGCCAGTGTCTTTCCCTGGTGGGGCAGTGAACAGGAAGGAGCACACAGGAAGTGAGTCAGATGAAGCTGTAAGAACTGCAGAAGAGGGAGGCTGTGAGTCAGCGAAGGCCCCTGACAGACCTGGCTGAGGCAGGGGGCTGCACTGCACCCCCTACCCCATCCGCAGGGAATTGTGGTCTGGAGCAGGTCTCCAACCCCCTCAAGCTGTGTGGCTCCCCCACGTGCAGAAGGAAGGAGGGAAACATACCCTAACAGAACGGTCGCTTGAGGGTCATGTCAAGTACTGGACCACAGCGTCAAGGGTTGGGAGATCCCTGTGGGTCTCTGGGTCACTCTTTTCATATCCACTAGTATATTGAAGGTAGCTTTTTTTTAGAATGAAATCATGCAATTTGCAGCAACATGGATGGACCTTGAGGTTATCATACTAAGTGAAGTCAGAGAAAGACAAATATCATATGATATCATGCACATGTGGAATCTAAATTATTGGCACAAACTTACTTACAAAACAGAAAGAGTCACAGACATAGAAAACAAATTTAGCTTACTGAAGGGGAAAGCTATAAACTAGAAGTTTGGGATTAGCAGACACACACCACTATATATGAAATGGATAAACAATAAGAACTTACCACATAGCACAGGAAACTAACTTCAGTATCTCATAATACCTATAATGAAACAGAATATGAAAAAGAATAAACATATGTATAAGTGAATCACTATTCTGTACGCCAGAAACGAACACAACATTGTAAATAATCTATACTTCAATTAAAAAACATAGCTTTTTTAAAAAACAAAGTTGCTGATTCGATTGCATCAAACAAATAAAAACGACTTACAGAAAATAGACTGGAAAGAAATAAACTAAGATGCTGACGCTAGTTGTCTCTGGGTAGACCATAGACCTTTCATTCTTTTCTAAACTGTTTTATATTTTCCAACTTCTTTACAAGGAGAAATGTTAAATCTTTTCAACATTTAAAAATAGCAAGCTTGCATTATTTTTATAAGGAAAAATCTAAAGCATTAAAAATATGATTCCCAGAGGGAGGGTATATCTCAGTGGGAGAGTGTGTGCTTAGCATGCATGAGGCCCTGGTTCAATCCCCAGTACCTCCATTAAGAAAAATACATAAATAAATAAACAGACCTAATTACCTCCCTCTCCCACCAAAAAAAAAAAAATATATATATATACACCACACACAAAATATACATATGCGTTTATATGTGTATGTATATGTATATGTGTATATATACACGCACACTTATTTATACAGTCCCTGAACTAGACCATCCTTACACAATCTGGAGTTTAATTACTAGTATGGTAGCGGTGCTAATTTCTTCATGGCGACCAGGCTGACTGTGGTTGTGTAAGATGCTACCTTTGGGGTGAAGCTGGGTGTAGGCAGACAGGAACTCTGTGTACTACCTTTGCAAATCTTATGTAAATCTAAAGTGATTTCAAAGTAAACATTTAAAAAATGTCTATCCCCTCGAGGCTCTGAGACCTCCCAGGCAGAAGCTGTGAGGAGGGCATGGAGTGTCCGGCGGGGGCTCCAGGCTCTCCTGGCTCTGCCTGTAGGGGGGTAGGTAAGGAGCCTCACGTGCAGTCCCCCTCTTTTCACAGTGGCCTCCTTGCTGAAAGGAAGACAAGGCATCTACACAGAGAGCGAGAGACGGATGGGAGCGGTGATCAAGACCCGGTTTTTCAAAATCATGCTGGTTTTCATTATTTGGTAATCTTTTTTCTTCTTCTTTTTTTTTTAAACTGTCCCTGGGAAGGGATATGCAAACCACTTGTCATTTGCTTTCCTGAGTGTGACCTGAAAGTTCCAAAGGGAAGAGTCTTTGGAAAGGAAATCTTTGAAACTGCTAGGTGCCCTTGGAGGAAGTGCATGCCAGACAGGAAGGCGAGTCTACAATCGGGCACTCCTGGAGAGAGATTCAGATCGACTCAAATTGGAGAAAAAGCCCTTAGAACAAGAAGTCCTGGGTTTACTTTTGATACATCCCAGCCACACACATGCGGTGTTTTGTCCCTTGCTGGTTGCACTTTGAGATCAGTGCTCCATCGTGCCTTGTTAATCCACCCATTTGCATCAGTTTTGACACCAATTCCTGTGTCTGACGAGCTAGGAGGGCAGGGGCACGGCTTTGGTGTGATGACTCACTGCTCGGCCAAGAAGGGCAGGGAGCAACCTTCCTCTCCTCCGCTCTCCTCCCCCACTGCTGTTCTGACCCAGTGTTTCAGGTGGACGCGTTGGGCAGAGACCTGTAACCACTGCAAAATACACTGGAATCAGACAACACTTTGCTGCGGTGAAGCGATGCTTTGCCGGACAGGGCGCGCCTTTGTAGTGTTACTAATTAACCTGATGTGAGGAGGTCGGTTTGGATATTCTCCCAGGAGAGACATAAGTTACCTCCCTCTAAAAATACACCAAACTTGCCGTTTCAAACTTCCCTGGCCTCCCTGCAATAACCTCAGAACATTCGAACTTAAAATGTCAAGATAAGATTTGTCTTGGCCTTCATCAAAACGTGAGGTTGCTCTTCAAACAAATAGTGAATTCTGGGTTATGGGGAATGCGCTAGAACCTTACCCCAGATGTCATGTTGTGCGTTACCATCGGAAGGATTTGTCCGTCTCTGCTTTAGATGGACAGGAATGGCATCTCTTACACTAAATTCTTGGCATGCTGGTTCCCCCTTCCTGCTGAAGCAGTCACCCCTCCAGGACTTTTAGATCTTGGTAGACATGTTCCTGACCCCTAGCATTAGAAATGAATTCTGTGGGGGAGGGTGTAGCTCAGTGGTAGACTAGCATGCAGGAGGTCCTGGGTTCAATCCCCAGTCCCTCCATTAAAGAAGTAAACAAACAAATAAACAAACCTAATTATGGTCGCCCCCCCCCACCCAAATTCTGTTGCATGTTCTTTTCACCTCTCGGCCATTTTCTTTCTAACAGTTGGTTGTCAAATATCATCAATGAAAGCCTTTTATTCTATCTTGAAATGCAACCAGATATCAATGGAGGCTCTTTGAAACAGGTCAGGAATGCAGCCAAGACCACGTGGTTCATTATGGTAGGTCAATCTTGATTTAAAATTTTCTTCTTGGGAAAAAAAAAAACCCAGAAGGAATAAAAGCCACTCAGAAGTATGATGCATCTGTTACTTAAATATGTAGTGAGTCGAACAGGTTCCTGGGCTGCCTACCTCTGGCCTTGGTCCCCAGGCTAGCTTGATTCATTCAGTGTGGGGTTGCTATAAAGTGGGTATGACTCTGGTCAATCGATTTGGCAAGTGTATCACACCTTGGAATCAAAATATCAGTGAATTTATTTCGAAAAAAATATTTCAGACTGAAGAAACCATAGGAATGAAGATGATCCTTATTATCCATAATTATAAAGCATTATAGACAACCCAAGTCTTTAAAAAACAGGAGTGGCTAAGTAAATTATGGTCTTTGATACTGACAGAATGTTATGCAGACGTGAAAAATGACAATAATGAAATCTCTAGCATTAAGTGAAAAATTCAGGATTGAAAACCTATACTAATGGCAACTACCTAATAACACGTATGTGAAGAAATGTTGGGTAGAAATACACAAAATGCTAATAAAGTGGAAAGACCACGGGTAGATGCCGCCGTCTTTTCACTGTCCTGCATTTCCAATAGGAAAGTCCCTCCTCCAGCTGCCACTGGGGAGGCCCCCGTTCCCCACACAGAATTCGTATTTACACTGCATCAGGGTCCGCGAAATCTGATTCACGGGACTCTGAGATCAGACAGCGTTAACTGCCCCCTCCCTGTCCTGTGGTTCCTTTGGTTCACTTCCTGTGCACGACCACACGGAGCGGGAGGAAGGTTCCCTCAACTCACTGCTGGCCTCGGGAGCCTTTGTGACATGACGGTCCGCCCTGGGAGCACGAGGTGGCCGGCCCGGGTCTCTGCAGGACAGCGCAGCCTCCCTGGCAGAGGCGCAGACGGCGCTGGTTCGGTGGCCCCGTGCAGCTCTCCCTTCCCTCCCTGGTGGGCCTGCTGCCAACTCCAGTCCCTCTCCCCGTCCCCCCCCCCCATTTTCAGGCGCCTTTGGAGGCCCAGCACCTCCAGGCGATCCTTGTCTCGCCCCACTCCAGCCAATGGGCCCCATCCCCGCGCGGAGCCCCACGGACCTCAGGCACCTCCCTGCGCGCACCCGATGCCCTGCCTCCCACCTCCCTGCGCTGACCCTCCCCGTCTCTTTGTCCCCCTCGCAGGGGATCCTGAATCCAGCCCAAGGGTTCCTCTTGTCCCTGGCCTTCTACGGCTGGAAAGGGTGCAGCCTGGATTTC